TGAAACACCATCATATATCGAAAGATCAAATCCAAATGTAATTCCAGTATCACAATCATCACAAAATTACATCAGAAATCAGAATGGTAAGTTTCAAGCAAGAAAATTTCCAGAACAAGTGGATCAATATCGTGGTTCTAATGGTAGAGATCGATTTATTACCCAAGGAGAAATTTCTAGAAGGCAAGTTATCTTCAGAAATCCTGAAGGAAAATCTACATGGATTTTTAATAATAACGGCAGCCAACAAGTAACACCACAGCAAAATCGTGAAAGAAATATTCCCCAGTATCCTGGCCAAACTAGAGATCAAGGTAATGGTCACGGATCACGTGAGTACCAAAGCAATTCCAGAAATTTCCATTATGGAAATTCTACATACGAAATTCACGAAGAGAGAAAACAGGTGCAATTTCAAGATAATGGAAAAAAGAGAAGAGGACAAAATTTTGGTCAACCATCGAAAAATAATCAAATTTATTCCAGAAAAAACTCTATTTCCCAAAGGCCTGAAGAATTTTCAGTATGTCAATCAAGTAGAGCTGTTGAGCATTCATATATTAGGGATCGGGTAGAACCGCAGATGAATGGTGGATGGAATGAACAAAGAAAAGAACCTTTTAATCGTGGTAATCTTCAGACTATAAACCATGTACCTACAGAAGATAATGATGAAATCCTTCACGAACCACCATTGGAACCCAGATATTACCTAAAGAGTGAATCAAGTTCTGAAGATTATAGCCAAAGAGAAGGTTCTCAATATTCCAACGCATCGAGTTGTGAGAGATACCGGATTCGCAAAAAAGTAAGGAAGCAAGCCCACCGTAAAAGAATAAGATCCGATTCTGACAGTTCAAATTTTAGCTTTGGCAAACCTGTATCCGATAGTAGCGATTCTTGTATTTCAGAATTTAACCTCAGTATTTCGGAGCATTCAATGGCAGAAGCGAATGAAGTCCCACAAAAACACCAGTTAATAGAATACCATGAAACTCCACAGGAGAAAATCGAATACTCAAAAGGAGCACAAGAACAACATGAATTTCTTGAATATTCAAAAGATCAATGCAACGCCCTACAGGAACAACCCGAAACCCTACAACAACAATATAAAATTCTACCTGAACCTTCTGAAGCACAACAACAATATAAAATCCTACCTAAACCTTCTGAAGCACAACAACAACAATACAAAATCCTATCTAAACCTTCTGAAACACTACAAGTTCTTCAAGAGAACTCTGAAGCCCTACCCGGAACACTACAAGATCCTCACGAGCTCTCTGAAGCCCCATTTGACCATACAGAACGGCAAAAAGTTAAACATAACTCTCCCACAAACAAAGGCGTCCTCCAACACAGTAACCATCCTACAAAGGCCACCATCCAAAGAGAAGTTTCTACAACTTCTAACATCGTTAAAACAACTGAACCATATACCATACCAAAGAAACTTCAAATTATAAAGAAATTTCCACCTACTTTAGAAACCATCAAAGATAACTTTTCCGAATTCTGTCGATCCTATTGTGGATCGTTATATTTGCAGTATCTAATCGAAAAATTTAAAGTAGAAAGAGATATCATATTTGATGGTATTCTTCATAAACTTCCAGATATAGCTACAGAGAAGAATGGAAATTTTATAGTTAGAAAATTACTGGAATTTTGTACTCCAAATCAAAAACGTGAACTCTTTTCCAAAATAATGGGACATATAGTATTTATAGCTATGGATACTTGCGGATGCTTCGTAATTCAGGTTGCCCTAAGATCATGCCCGGGAAACATCAAGAATAATATAATACGCGAACTAAAAAACGAAGCTATTCAATGTTCAAAGGACTTTAACTCTTTGTTTGTTCTTAAGTACATCTTTGAAAACATGGCCCCAGCAGCTATTGTATCCTTAACTGAAGTTTTCATCGGGCATATCAGAGAATTGAGTACACATCCTATTGGATATCAAATGGTCCTTTTACTATTTAAAACATGCAATCGAAAATTTAAAGATATATTCCTTGATGAAATTCACA